TCATCCATGTCACACAACTGAAAAAATCAGTAAAGTATTAAAGCAGTCTCTCGGGCGATATGTAACAGTTCCCTTAATTTACCAGATTCATAATACATCCGTTTTCCGCCCTTAAGATGCATCTCTAGGTGCATTGAGGGTGGATACCTCTCATGAATAGAAAAACCAAAAATGAGCCACTGTGCCACATCGCCTCAGAGGAACTTATGTATCGCCCCGTTTGGAAACGTGTAACTTCGATACGTAGATTAGTCGTTACTGCACATTTAGTTTGATCGCTGCCTTTAACGACACATTTCAAATACTTTTACAAACATGTCATTATTTATGGACATGACATTTAATAAAAAAAACTCAACGCTTTTACATATTTCTTAGTTAATGTGAATCCGAAAATTCAAAACTAAATAAGGCATAATCCGTCTATTGTGGACGACGATTTGCTGACCAAGTAATGTGAAACGGCAGTGAATTTACCCTTTTACGGTAAACGTTGTCTATAGTTACATAGTTACCCATCCTTATCTGTAAATTGTCCGAGTGTTTCCGCCCTTGGGTATCTTTTAGTGCATCGTCCTTTAAAGTCGGCATTTAGAACACTGTGGAGGCCGTATACTATATGGGTTTTAATAAAGTTCTACAATGCTAGACTTTAATTAGGGTCATTGTAGAAGCGTGCTCGTTGCGACCCCTGCCAGCCCTTTTCAGGGCTGCAATTCTACACAGCTGCGCACCCATGCAAACGAGGGTTAGGGCGTCCCCCCAAGGCGACGCACACCAGCTCGTCCCCGTTGGTGTGGAATGCAGCGCGCAAAGCGGCGATGGGGACCGCCACCCGTCACCCACAGCCCGACACGGCGGAAGGTGGAGGAACGGAGTGCAGAGTTGGCACGTGGAATGTTAGAGGGGGCATGAGAGATAAGACGAATGAGTTGATCGAAATAATGAAAGAAAGAGAATTAGATGTCGTGTGTATGTCGGAGACCAAACGGAAAGGCAGTGGTACTGAAGAGCTCCCTGGCGGGACGTTAGCTATATGGTCCGGAGTCCCGGAAAGCGAGAACGCCTGCCAGGGAGTGGGAGTGCTGTTGTCGTCCCGGTTGGTCGATCTTATGACCGAATACAAGGTTGTGAACTCAAGACTTCTCTGGGTTCGCTTCAAAATGGGACTGACGAAGTTATTCCTTTTGGCTGTTTATGCGCCGGTAGCTTCGTCGTCCAGATCTGTGCTGGAGGAGTTTTGGGAGAATGTAAGAGAAGTTCTAGATTTGGTTAAGGGAAACGAAAGAACTGTTGTATGTGGTGATTTGAATGGATGGGTAGGTATCGCTCGACCAGGATACGAGTCGGTGCTTGGAAAGTTTGGCGATAAAAGGGTTAATGATGCTGGCAAGCTTATACTGGCTGTATGCAAGGAAAAGGGTCTTCTTGTGACAAACACTATGTTTTATACACTAGAGAAAGAAAGAATGAGAGAAGTATGATTGATTTGTTCCTGGTGGATGACCGACTGCGAAAACAGGTGATGGATACACGAGTGTTCAGGGGTGCTGACCTGGGAACGGATCATTATCTAGTAATTACTAGATTTAGGGGTTTGTTCGCGGGTTGGCGCTACCGGACTGCAGTAACAGAACCACAGTCGGTCTGTCGCATCCGAAGCTGGAAGCTTCAGGAAGCGGATACTAGGGACAAATATTAGACAAGGGTAGCCGAAAAGCTTGACACCATCGATAGCAGGAAAGAATGTGTGGAGAGAACATGGCAGAACCTTAGGGATGGAATGGTAAGTGCAGCGGAAGAAGTATGTGGAAGGACAAAAAGAGGTAGTAGTAAAAGAAGAGATGCATGGTGGAATGATGAAGTGAGAGAAGCTGTAAAAAAAGAAGAAAAAAGCATGGTTAGACTACTTGGCCTCTAGTAACGATGAGCATATGAGGAGAAGATGAAAGAAAGATATAAGCTGCAGAAAATTCATGCGAAAACATTGATTGAGGAAGTACGTGAAAGGTGTAGAATAGAAACGGACGAGAGGTTGTCGCACAACTTAAGGGAAAACCTCCAAACTCTTCTGGAAAGAGGTTGGAAGGTCCCGGAGTGGTGCGACAGCCTTAAGAATGAACAAAGTGCTTTCGAGAACTAATGACGTCCTCTCAGAAAAATCGGACGTCATGCAGCGATGGAGTGAATTTTATAGAGAAATGTATGCGTGTCATGACCTTAGTTAAGGATCCGGGGGTGACGCCGTGACTGGCACGCCAGACACGGACCTCGATGACACTGAGGTCATCATCATGAAAGAGATTTAACGTGCGATTCGAAGTTTGAAATGTGGTAAGGCTGCGGGAGTAGACCGAGTTACTGCTAAAATGGTCAAGTACGGTGGGCCTCGCGTCTGGGACAGCTTCCATCTGCTGTGCAATTTGTGCTGGCGGACGGGAGATATCCCAGATGATTGGCGATCCGCGGTCATTGTGCCTTTATATAAAGGTAAAGGTTCACATTTTGACTGCGGGTGCTATCGGGCGATCAGCTTGACCAGTTTAGCAAGTAAAGTTTACTCGAAGGTTTTGACACGTAGGGTGCAAGAGAAATCGGAAAGATTCTTATGGGAGGCACAATGCGGATTTAGACCTGGAAGAGGATGCACGGATCAAATGTTTTCTCTCCGCATGATCACGGAGAAGCTTCTGAGTGTTAACCAGAGGATTTTCTGTGCTTTTGTGAATCTGGAGAAAGCATTTGATAAGGTAATAAGGAAGAAAATGTGGGAACTGTTGCCGGAATATGGTGTGGATGGTCGATTGTTAAGGGCTGTGCAGTCACTTCACTATGACTGTAAAGCCTGTGTGCGGGTAGGGCATGACCTGTCACCCATGTTTAGCGTCCAAGGGGGCGTGAAACAGGGTTTTGTCATGTCTTCCTGGCTGTTCATACTGTATCTCGACAGCTGTTTACAGAAGCTGAAAAATAGCTGTTTGGGTGTGAAATTGGGTGACATAAAAGTTAATTGTCTGCTGTATGCTGATGATGCAGTGCTTATTGCACCATCAGAAGCAGAACTGCAGGCATTAGTCACGTGTATGAAAGAGGAATGTGAAATTAAAGGTCTCCGTTTGAATGCTAATAAAACTAAGGTTCTGGTATTTGAAAAGGACGAAGAGAGAACGAAATGTGAAGTATGGGTAAATCAGGAATGTCTAGAACAGGTAAATGAAATTGTATACTTGGGGAGTGCTTTCAGCCGGGATGGAAGATGTGATTTAGATGTGGATAGGCGTGTCGCTGCCGAAACAAAGTCAATGGTGCCCTGAATGCATTAGTAAAAAGGCAAGTTTCAAGGGCCTAGGCTTTTTGAGATTCCACAAAATGGCTCAGGTCCAAATTGTGTACTCTTTGAGCCATCCCGTGCTAGTTTGTCGGCAAATTCATTGCATACAATACCCGCGTGACCTTGGACCCATCTTCATCCAGGGACGTTTAAACGGTTCACGCAGTCTCCAACCAGCTTCGATTTCACTAAATTTGATCTCACCGCTAGCAGTGCTGCTTGACTATCAGAGACTATATGGATAATATGGTTAACGTAGTGTTTTTGCAGATTGATTGCCGGACCTGATAGAGGTGAATCTACTCAAAATTTTTCTAAGTATGAATTTGGGACGTTCCCCATAAATTCCAAAGCCTACGTCGAGACCCATTTTTAGTCCATCGGTATACTATATAAGACTACCGACTTCACAGATAACCTGTTCTTTCAGCCAGTATTCAGGGCATTTTCACTACGTAATTTTTATTCAATATACGTATGATATCTGAGATCATGTATAGGACTGATATTTACTTGAGTCGAGCATGGATCTCAATCTATATGAAAGCAAGCTTAGACCGCCTAGGACCGTCTTTTGGTTGTTCTTATTACACCAGACAATGGAGGAGTAGGTAAGAATCGGCCTCACTATGCTGCTACACAGCTTTACAGCCCCAAGTCCAAGTTATTCCCAACTACACGACTGCTCATACCTAAAGCAATTTTATCCTTACGACATACGTTGTTGCGCCCAAATACTGAACTTCAATGGAGAATAGTATTTCTTTACCATTAAGTTTCGGTGTGACTAATTTGTCCAATCGTCTATTTTTGGTAAAGGGTACTATAACAGTTTTATCAGTATTTACAGATAAACTGTTATCCCTCCACCAGTTATTTATCGTCAGAGATATTTGTCATAGTTGCCATATTGACAGGCGAGTTGGTTACCACAGTTTTTGTTGTTGGTTATTATTAATTTATTATCAGGAACATACTACTACATCGGTACATACATATTAATAAAAAGGATTCGAATAGGTATATCCAACCCAATATCCTCTGTAAAGGAGTCGTCAAATGGATTCATAAAAAAGTAAAATAGACCTTATTATAACTACGCTTTAAGTATGTTGTTAAATGATATCGCCGCTGTATTGGTTCGGCATTTGACATAAGTCTTCGCCATGGCCGGTGTTTTTGAGAATGCAAACAAACAGAATGAAAGCAACCTTATAACTCAATGCATAAAGTATGTTTTTAAATACTACCATATATTAGACGTTCCGCCCTTTTATAACAACCGCTTTGCGTGTTTAATTATCTTTCCATTTATTACAAATATTGTGATCGAGTACACGTTTCTTCTGCTGTCTTCCTAATTTATAATGTCGACTAAAAAAATAAACGAGTTTCCACGCGAAAAAAACTGTATTACCGATTAAAGTGAAAACAGAAATGCTTGATCGTTTACGCCTTGGAAAGTTGTTTGCATCCAATATCATGCTCGTTCAATGTCAACGAATCAACTGTACGATCGATAAAAAAATTCGAAGATAAAATAGCGTCATCTGTGCTTCAACTTAACTGTCAGCAAAAATTGTTCGTGATCAAGCAATAGAAAAAATTTAGGTGGCGTTGTCATTATGGATCGAAGACCGCAACGAAAAGGTTGCCATTGAGTGGTGCAATGGTTCGGAAGAAGGCGAAGCTTCTTTACGCATATTTTAAAGAACCTGGTGGTAGTTGTGGTGGTGAATGTATAGAGGAATTTCAAGCATTGGAAGGTTGGTTCAATAAATTTAAGGTGAAAAAATCCTTGGAGATGCTGCCTCGGCAGACACTGCTGCAGCAGAATGATATACCAGAAGAATTTGCATTCCTAGTAGCTGATGGAGGATACAAACGATAACACGAGATTGTGTCCTTAAACCGCTGATGTTTTACGGATCCTTAAATCCTCGTGCTTTAAAAAGTCAAAACAATGACGACCTGCCAGTGTTTTAGCGTGCTAATAAGAAAGCGTGGGTCATGAGCGCTATTTCTTGTGATTAGTTCCGAAATTGTTTGGTTTCTGAAGTTAAAACTTTTTTTTTATTACACTTTAAAGAAGTTCTCGTTTTGGACAATCCACCAGGTCATCCTCGCAGACTTGAAACTATGCAGCCAAATATAAAAGTGACATTTTTACCTCCCAACACGACGACTTTGCTTCAATTTATAGACCTAGGAATAATCCAGCCCTTTAAGCTCTATTACATTACATATACATACTCTATTACATTAAAGGAACCTTCAAAATCATGTTGGATAATATGGAATGTGATCTTGATATGAATGTTATGGAAGGCCTGAAGAAATTTGATATAACAAAATGCATTTAAACGTAAAAGAATCATTCTAAGAACTGAAGCCATACACATTGAAATCATGCTGGAAAAAAATGTAGCTTGCTCTGACTGCGGAAAATGATGAAGGATCTGTGCAAAATCAAACTTTGACTACAAACATAACCGAAATTGCGAATCGAATAGGATGAGATGGGTTCGAAAAGATAAAATCAAGTGACATTCAGAAGTTGCTTGAATCGCAAGATGAAGATTTGACTGAAACCGACTTGGAGGAAATGTTAAATTCAAAGTCCATTAAAAAAGAGGCTTCAACGGATGAAATGATAAATTCACAGTCCATTAAAGAAGAGGCTTCAACAAGCACTGGAAACGTGACATTTAATTTGAAAAATCTTAGTGAAAATTTAGGAATGGCAAATGAGCTTTGTGATACGTCTATGGAAAGAATGTCAATTCTGATTATCAGTCTGAATTGAAGGAGCTCTTAAAAACTACCAAGCAAGAAAAAATTACAAAATTAACATTATAGATAGATGGATAGAAAAATTTATTTGCTTAAAAATATGGTAAATAATATGGTCAATGATGTGGAACTAATTGACATGGAAAAATTAAATGAAATACAGCTAATTACACTAAGTCAATCTTACATCTTAAAATTTTTGTCACCTAGAAACGTATCCCTTATAATCTCATATTAATTACCATTCCATATGCGCGGTTTCTGTATTCGCGGCATATTTACGAAACATATACCCCGCGAATAAAGAGTTTTTACTGTACTCATCTCCTTTTGAAGTTATCCCACTGTTGACTCTTACGACACTCACGGCATGACTTAGGGTTGTAGATTCCCGCCGCTACACAGCATAGTGTATGAGGCGAAACACGCATCTGGATGTCGATCGTAAGACTTATCCTTCATATAACTCACGTGTGATTTCTTCCCACTTTGGATTATTGGCGGCTTGAACTCTATAAATACAACAGCGGAGTTCGCCAAGATGACTTTCTATGGTTTTAACGCTATAGAAAACTATAATAATGGATGGGAATGACATATCTTAATATTAAGTGACGTGTCAGCGTAACGTTACGTTATGTTAACGTAGATTTCCTTCATTTTTGATGTTCAGGAAAACATCAAAGTATAGCTTCATTCGATCACTGTGACAAAGGCCATTACTTTAGATTTGATAGACCACAAATCCTCGCAAAAGAACACCGATTCCTACCAAGGATGACTTGCGAGGCTTTTTAAATTAAAAAAAAAAACATTCTGACTTCTTGGATACCATCTGCTTGGGATCCTATAAAAGTTACAGCCTATATACTGTAGTATTGTATTATATTATGGTCTCGCAGTAAAACTCCAAACATGAGTCATAGCATTTATTTCTTTTTTGTTTCTTTGTAATAGACTCGTACTATTGTACTTTTGCCTAAATTAAATATTTTATTTTTATTACTAACTCAAGGAAATTTGCAATTTTCTTATCATGTTTGTTTTTTTATTTAAATATTATTCTATAGTATCCCTATTTTATAATTAAAAATAAAAAGGATGAACCTTTTTATTTTTCTTCCATACAATTTGTGGATGTCTATGTACGTACAGTTTTCAAAAACCATTCGAAATTTTTGAGAAACCGCTGTTTTTTTAGTCTGCATATTTTATGGCTTGCAGAATATGAAAGGTTTAATTTTACCAAAATAAGCTAATTATATTATCAACGCGTTTTGATTATATATTTATTAATTTCAAAATGTCCTAAATTTCAATCCAGTGTGACACTTCAGTTGTGCAACGCGATAATTTGGGATTTATTTACATTCTACCACGGAATATCAATATGTTTAAAGTGGCAACATAGGCCCATGAAATTCGACTAACTTCTGGATGCTTCCGCCATTTTGTTTTTGCGTCAGATGGACGATCGTGTCGGAACTCGCTACGTGTCATTAAGAAATTGTAAGTTTACTTTGTTATATTTTCGAAATTTAAATGGTTTTCCTGAATTCAGATAGTAAATCATATCTATCACGTATTTAATTGTCAAAATATAGCAATTAGAATTAGCAATATAGTAAATATCATGAATTATAATATTTTTTAGGCTAAGTTGTGTAGAATTTTTGATCCGTTGTGCGACGTATGACTCGAAATTGTGTGACGTGTCACAATGGAAATCGTAAAGGTGTGTACCTATCAACGTTCTACTCAATTTATGAATTCATACTAAAGTACTGGCGTATTTGTTTTTTCAATTGATTGATAATCAATATTTTTCAGATGCTTTTGTCCGCGGCTGAAAGGTGCCGATGGTACCGAGAAAACCTTAAACAATCTAATCCAGAAAAATATGATTCAATGAAAAAAAAAAAGAATGCTGAGAGAACAAAGGCTAAAAAAAGAAAAATAGTGAATATGATTGAAGATGAAAAATTGGCGATTAGAAAGAAGTGGCGAGATGCTAACCAAGCTCTACAGCGCGCAACATGTTATAAAAGAGGAAAAGGTAGAAAAGCTAGTCGTATCAAATAATGATAATAGGCAACGTCGCAAATATCGTAGTAAATTACTACGTGAAAACATGGGTTTGAAGGAAAAAAATGAAAACTTAAGTGTGAAAACTTATGTGTTTTAATAAATATTTTTGATTTTTGCATATTATATTAGTTTTATTTAACAGTATACCCAATAATCATGAAGGTAATTGTAGAAGGTAAGTACTTACGTCCAGGGTATGCCCGGATCACAGGATCAGGTCCGCCATCTCGCACTATGCGAGATCTATCTATCGTATTGGGCTAAGACTGTGTATTTGATCTCCCTCACTATTTCGGGGGGTATATTCTAGGTAGCCGTTACCCGTTAGTAGTGACGTAAGTATACTTAATTATTAATATTGATTTATAAATAAAAGTAAAACAAACAGTTAATGAACTAAAATATTTTACAATCCATGTGCACTACACTTTACAAATTCCGTTGTACGACGTTTTTTTCTTTGTGAGACATTCCGTTGTAATTTCCATTGTGCGACTGCGCAAAAAATTTAAGTCTTACCCTTATGTCATTGCCTACAAGGCTTTCAGCCAAAAAAAACAAACTGTAATAATACAAAAGATACATTTTCCAAAATATAAATATGTCAACGAATTTCTTCACAATTTGCTTATACATCACATTGCGACATTTATAGGGAGCTTAAACCAGTAGAAAAACATACCAAGGAAAAACATATAGAGTATAAACGATCACTATACCTAACCTACGTTGACTACGCGAAGGCTTTCGACTCGATATCACACGAAAGTATTTGGAAGGAATTATACGCGCAACAAATCCTAAACGCATATATAAAAATATTACAAGATATATACAGAAAATTTACAAGCCGAATAAAACTAGACAGGCGGGGACCGGAGTTCGGTATAAACAAAGGCGTAAAACAAAGCGACCCACTATAGCCAAGGTTTTATAGCCGTGCTGCAAAATATTATGAAAGAATTAAAATGGGACAAAAAGGCATAAATATAAACGCAAAATATCTTAGTATCCTCAAATTTGCAGATACAGACTTAATAATTTTTTCGTTTATATTTTTTTTAATATTCTAAGCAGCTGGAAAATATGTTGAAGGAAGTGAGCAGGGTCAGTAACTATATCGGCTTACAACTAAATACACCAAAAATAAAAGTGGCTACCAACGGCGCTAAAACCCCATAAAGATGAACGACATATAGTAGAGCCGCGATAGTTCGAACCCCCGATAATTCTAACCCCTGATAATTCGAACCCCCGATAATTCGAACGCCTCTATAATCCGAACGACCCACTAGTAGATATTTCAATTTTAAAAAACATTATGTTATATCGCAAATTGAAAGCATTTTCTTTGTCACTAAACACAACTCGTCAATATATTATATTATTTTTTTTTATAAATAATACATATTTATAAAAATTTGTATTGTTTTTTTATAGGATAGGGTGACAAACGAGCACACAGTCCACCTGATGGTAAGTGTTTGCTGCGGTAGATAGACATCCACATCTATCCTCGATTTCAAATCAAAATGCAGATGCATTGTCACCCGTGAGGACTAAGATGGAATGCCTCGTTTCCAGTAAAAAGGGTCTCCGGTTCTCCACTCTCACCATACGAAGCATAGCAGCATTAAGCTGCTATTTCACGGTGGTATTCTGTGAGAGCGTGGTCCTTCCCCGGTCGAGCCGACCCATTCGTACTACAACTATACTACTAATATAACTGCAGCATAGCTCTACCACGTATAAAACTTTCAATTTTAAAATCTGTTTAATTTAAAAAAACCACCTATAATAACAATAATATATTTATTGATAAACATGTACAAGCATTTACTGTGGTCAACAACCCCTTAAGGCGACACCGTGAAAAAATGCACCTCCTTTCATCGAATAGTATAGGACTATGACACCACTAACGAAAGTGGGATTTTGATATAATATGTAAATTCATGTCATGCCAAAAAAATATTTTATTTAAAATAACTATTTTGTTATATATTTCTTAATATATATTTATTAATATATATTTCCTTCTCCTGCACTACCATTAAGGACGGACATGATTCTTCTCAAAATCAACAAGATAAAAAGATAGGATAAAACAGAACGGACGTGTTTGTTGCGCTTGTGTATAATTATTTACTTTAAAAACAGTTATAATGTCTGTAGATTGTTAGGCTTGTGGTGTCCAAGTACCTGATGGTTGTTACATAAAGTGCTCCAAAAAACAGTGCGAGAAAGTTTATGATTTAAAATGCCTAGGACTGACAGAAAATAAATTCAGTTCCTTCTCGGATAAGCGCACGAAGCAATGGGTCTGTCCGGAGTGCGCTTGTTCTAAACCTAAACGCTATGACCCGAATACACCTATCAGGGACACCCCGGAGCTGAAAACATTCACGCCCAGTGCTAATGTCAACACTCAACGGGGAAGCCGCATGCAATTGATGGATGATAATAATAGTAATGATAAATTGCTGTCTGAGTTTAGACAGCTAAAATATGAAGTCTTAAGCCGATTAGACGTGCAAACTAACATTATTAAACATCTTCAAGAAATATGTTTTTCTACAAAAACGGAATTAGAAGAACTAAAGATTAAAATGAAAGTATTTCAAAATAAATTGTTCCCAACGGATCTGTTATCAACTCAAAATCAACAGTTTGAAAGTATTGATAGTATAACGGAAAGTTTGAATACAGGCCTCGAAATGTCTAAGCAAATCGATGTCCCATATACATTCGCTGATGTGGCTCATATAAGCCTAAATAATGTAAACAAAACAAACGTTACTCCCTGCGTAATAAAAACGCCTGCGGCCATGAAAATAGCAACCGGGAGAGGGTCCGTTGTCCAAACTCAACCAATTAATCAGCCACAGTGTGTGACTCCAAGGAAAGAGTTAAATATTAATATTAGTGAGGAAGAAGAAAAAATTAATAAAGATTGTGAGTGGACTACAGTTCGTAAGAAAAGGGGGGAGTTACCAATCAAAAAATGTGAAGAAAGGAAATAATACGGTTTTATTAGATATACAGGCTACTGAAAAAAAGCGGCACCTTCACGTTTGGCGTTTGAGTAAAGAAACCACAAGTGATAAATTAACATCACATGTCAAAGGAGTATGTAGTCCAGATGCTAATGTTAAGATTGAGAAAATTAAGCATAAGACAGAGACGGATTACGCTTCTTTTATCATAACGGTATCAGAGTCAATGTATGATAAGTTGTGTCAACCGGAAGTCTGGCCCATCAATGCGGAATTTTGCGAGTGGATTTGGTTTCGAAAAGCTACAAATAAACCAATTAAAGAAAAATAATAGTTTTGAATTTTACTATCAAAACTTCAGGGGTCTTCGTACAAAATTAAACTGGTTTAGTAACAATATTGAATCATTGAATGCCGATATAATTGCTATTACGGAAACAGGATGCAACGATTCTATAATGGATGCGGAGATTGTGCCACCAGGTTATGATATAATAAGGTGTGATCGAGCAGACGGCCGTAAGCTAGGCGGCGCGTTTCTCGTGGCCACACACGGGTTACAGCTGCAACGAGTGGAATACACCGGGTGACGTAAACATAGATAACTGCTCATTTGAACTGGTTTGTGCGACAGTACACGCTAAAAATAAATGTTTATTTTTATGTTGCGTTGTTTACATCCCGCCTAAGACTAATGAAGATGTTTACATGATTTTTTTTAAGATAATAGAACAATTGTGTGTTAAATATAGACATATTATTTTGATAGGTGATTTTAACTTAAATTCAAGTAATGATAATGTTAAAAATTATTTTGAATATTTTGTGTCCTTTTGCGAATTGGCTCAGATGAATAAAGTCCTTAATTGTAATCGGAGTCAACTAGATTTAGTGTTGTGTTCGTTAGGATTAAGTGATGGCGTACAAGTATGCGAAGCTGACGAACCATTAGTGCCTGTGGACACGTATCATCCACCGCTCGCGGTGACTCTGGAGCTCAGCGCTGGCGGTGTGACGTTGCTACCCGTGGGGGCCGAGCCCGTTGCTTTAAACCGTGAGACATCAGCAAACCAAATTAAATCGCAATGGAATTTTTATAAAGCTGATTTTTACTTATTTTATTCTTATTTAGCTTGCGCCGATTGGAGTTTGATTAACGAGACACAAGAACCAGAGGAAGCTTTAGAGTTTTTTTATAATGTTTTTTACGGTGTTTTAGATAAATGTGTACTGAAAAAGCGGGAAAATAAAGTAGATCAAAGACACTACCCCGAGTGGTATACTAGTGATTTAATCAGGGACATAAAATTAAAGGCTAAACTTCACAAATTATATAAATCGACCGGATCTCTTGCTCATTACAAAGCTTTTTCTGCTTGCAGGACGAGAATTAAGAAAACTATTGATAGCGCATACCTAAACTATCAAAATCGTGTGCAAAGTAACTTGACAAAAGAAGAAGTCTTTTTGGGATCATATTAGGGCGAAAAAAAGGACCGTTAAACGTAAACAAATATTGAAAGATGGAGTAACATTGTCAGATCAAGAAAGTGCGACTAAATTTGCCAAATACTTCTATTCAGTGTAGAACAGCGAGCCAGCGCGTTTGAACGTAGACGAGGCAGTGTTGGCGGGCGGTGCGGGCAGCGCGCGCGTGCACGTGCCGCACCTGCAGCTAGGTGAGGTGCGCGCGGCGCTCGCCCGACTCAAGCCGAAGCGCTCGGCGGGCCCGGACGGTATACCGGCGTTTGTGATACAAGACTGCCGCTCAGTGCTGGCAGAACCGTTATTACATATTTTCAACTTGTGTCTGAAGAATTCATATTTTCCAGAAAGTTGGAAAATCACGCGAGTTATTCCGATACCTAAGGGAGGTAACAAACCTACAGTTTAACCCTTCAGACCAGTGGCGATTCTCTCAGCACCTGCGAAGGTGTTTGAGGGAGCCATTCAGCGAAGTGTACAGGAACAAGTTGCACCGCAATTATCGGACGCCCAGCACGGCTTCCGGCTAGAGAGGAGCACAACTAGTAACCTCTTAAATGCCATGACGTATTTGGTTCCTCATGTTGATGCAGGGTTGCAGGTAGATGCCGCCTACTTTGATTTTAGGAAGGCGTTCGACTTGGTAGATAACGATATCCTACTGTCAAAGATGGCGAAAGCTGGCTGCACACCTAAACTGCTTCATTTTTTTGCAAGTTACATGAGAGATAGAATGTGGAGTATGGCGGGTACCGGTCGGAGCCTTATTTTACTAGGTCTGGCGTGAGTCAAGGCAGTAATTTAGGGCCGTTAGAGTTCAACATAATGATTAATGATCTACCCGAAGTAGTAAGAGAGGCTAAATGTCTGTTATTTGCAGACGACCTAAAGTTGCTTTTAGCCATCAAGACTGAGGATGATTGTCGGCACCTTCAGCAAGATATCGACCAAGTAGTTGAATGGAGCCATAAAAATAAACTGCAGTTTAATATTTCAAAATGCTCTATTCTATCATTTAGTCGTGCACGGGCACCACTCAATTACAACTATAAGGTGAATGGCGAGCTAATGAAGAGGGAGGAATCAGTCCGGGATCTTGGAGTCCACATGGATGTCAAACGACATTCCGGGAGCACATCATGAATATATGTAAGAAAGCTTATAAACGACTAGGGGTTATCATTTGCAGAGCAGTAAAATTTACCAACATTAAAGCAATCTCAGTGCTGTATGATGCTCTAGTAAGGAGTCAGCTGGAGTGTAACTCAGCAATATGGGCTCCACATGAAAATAAATACAATCTTATGCTGGAGCGCATTCAGAATAAATTCACGCGATTTATATATCATAAGCTTTATGGGGTTTATCCATCCTACCCCTTGATGTATCCAACCTTGTTTGTTTTAGGTATGGTTGGATACAACAAGTTGGAAACTAGAAGAGATCTAGCGCTGGTAATCTACATTTTAAGGGTGTTCCGTGGTTACATCAGCAACCCGGTTGTGCTGCAGTGGATAGGCTTATGCGTGCCTGATAGGTATGTACAGCGGCGACGACGGCCGAGCTTGCTCGCGATGCCACGCGGCAGGACTAAACTGGTTCGCAATACCCCCCCTCACGCGAACGATACACATACTTAATTTGGTAGCTGAGATGTTGGACTTATTTTCGTGTTCACGGAGTGAATTCGCAAAAGTGACATTATTTACAATATGTTATTCTTAAATTGTAGTATACAATTGATTGTAATGTATTGTCATTGAAATTAATTATTATGTATTGTTATTTAAATTAATTATTGTGTTGTAATTAGTAATCTTTTACCATTTGAATTGTTACTTTTTGAATTGAGATGCTACATTTATCGATTTAGGTTTTCCCTGTAATGGTAGATGTTAGTAGGAAATATAAATAAATAAATAAATGTCTTTATCTTGAATTTGATTGCTCAAAAACACGATTGTATAATTTACTCGATCATAATTATTTGCGAAAACACCTCTAAAAATCACTATAGTTGAAATTACAACGAAATCATTTGATCTATATGCTTGGGAATCACTCAAATATATTCATAACATCAATATTCATAATTTACTTGCTCATTATTTTGATAACTTAAATCAATAATTTTTTAAAAAATATTTTAAGATTCTAACAAATTCTAAGCGCTTTTAATCATCGCGGGCGCTACGCAATTTTAGATCTTATGACGGTGTTTCTTCAATTTTTTATAGAAATTATGTATTCACTCGGATCAGTACGGCGATAGCGTTTTCGATGTGTCATCTTAACTAGGATATTATACCTGTATTTCAGGGGCTAGGTTATAAAAATATCCACATACTATAATCCGAACGCCTCATTAATCCGAACAGGGTGTAAATTTTGTGTGTTCAGATTGTCGAAGCCCTACTGTTCCTCCGGAATATGTTGAGAACTATACCTACCTAAGAAAACAAATCATTAAAAATAAAAAAATATAACCTGAAAAAATACTGTGTTGAAAGAAATATTGTTATAAGCGAAACTTACTTTAAAAGTAAAAAAGAAAATTATGAACTCATGTCTACTATCCTGTCTTACGCTCGGTGCTCAAACATGGGCAATAAAAATGTATTAATTAAACAACGTTCTTGTCAACGCGCTTTGAAAAGAAGCATCGTGGGTCTTAAACTCACTGACAAACAAAAAAGCTTGGCCATACTGAGCTTGAAATGGGGATAGGCAGGACATCTGGCCCGAATGACCGCCACAGATGGACAAAACAAGCCACACTCTGGAAAGTTCTAAGAGAAAGAAGATCCAAAAGCCGACCTAGAATTCGATGGAGTGACGACATAAAAAAAGACAGCGGGGAGGAAATGGATAGACGTGGTAACTAACAGGAACAAATGGAGGCACTTGGAGGAGGCCTATACCGCAAGGGGCATGAATTTAAATATCTTTTCTCTACTTTAGAATTTCCAACCAATTTAATAAAAAATTGTTAAATTCAATATTAATTTGTAATTCTATTATTGTCCATTAATATGTATTCATGTTTTAATAAAAGGCTTATTATTATTAATTATAAACCAGTAGACAGTCGAAAATAATATAGTCTCTAGATTGCACGGTAGATGCCTTGTACACTAAATAACTTGAGGCTTTTATCACCACCCACATTACCACCACCCACATTTATCGCGTGCTTGGCGGTGAAAGATAACATCGTCAGTCTGAGAACTCCGAGAAACAAAAAAGATTTAGAAGACATGTGAAATCAAAACACATGAAGCAGCATAACGGACACTTTCTTGCCCTAAAACCGTGCCGTGTGTGGGACGTTTATAACCTACAACTTTATAGAGCAAGATCTAGTCGATCTCACTCAGTCTCATGCGCGTAGATAATGCTCTCGCTCTCCCACTCACTGAGATATAAAAATTTAGTTTAGGGGATAATTGCCCCTTGGATCGGTCTGTCTTCTTGTCAAAGGTTTTAAAATAGTTGTCGGGTGAACATATATAAAAATGGAGCTTCAGAATTTACGTGAAGTT